TGAAACAGCTTCTGGGGAAGAGCAATGAGCTACCCTTGAGCTACCTGCCAAAAGCAAAGCTGGCACTAACGTCACCAAAAGACATTAGATATTTGAGTGCTGTGACATGTTCCTCTCTTTTTCTCCCCTCCTCTAACTGCAGATCATACACGAGCAGGGCAGCTACAGTTTCCTGGTCTGTGGGATGATCTTTGGAGGTTTGGCCTTTACCTTCTACGCCTTCCTCTTATTCTTCCACAGGATGTACCCCAAGCCCTCATCAGGTAAGAAAGCGCCAGCATTCAGCTCTGCTTTATAATGAGAGGAAGAGTGCCATAGGCATCGATACATAACCAGGGTGCAACACTTCAGCAAAATGCAAGGAAATGTTTATTTTACTTCTGCTTCCTGTTCCCTCTTCCTGCTTGGACTTGCCCACAAAGCCTTGGCAGCCACGCTCTCGATCTGCTTTATTTTCTTTTTTTTTGCAGTTAGAGAAGTGAGGGAAAACTAGGAATGTTCTATGGACTGCAGAAGAGCCGTAACCCAAATAGGATGCTGTGAAAGTGCCCCTGGGCACTAGCTACTGCAGAGCTGGTAGGAGGGGGTTATGACCTGCTGGTAGAGCATTCTGCAAGCTTCCCGAAAGCCAAAATCTGGGAAGAGCTGGAGTCTCCCCTCCAAGGCAGCTGTCAGGCTTCCAAGAGCATCACTGACAAAGGATACCTCTTACCTACGGCCTCAGATGAGCTGCTTTTATAAGCACCTTTCACAAAAGCAGCACAGTTTGACAGTCAAACAGCTTGGCTGGAGCTGGAGGCCTTCCCCCAGGGCTGATGAAGCTGATACCAGTGATAGAGCAGCAACAACCCCTGTTAAGAGAGCACAGGCATTTTAAGCACAGTAGAATTAGTGCATTTAAAGCACTACAAAATTAGTGCGTTCAGCTGAAGTGTCTTAATGTCCATTTTGCAGATCTGGATGCCACCTCACCTGACAAGCCAGCAGTAACGGATGACAATGGACTTTATCAGCGCTAAGAAAAGTGGACAAGCCCTAGACAAGCAATAAAACAACACACAATTAAGCGTTAGTATTGAGGATGATTTCACATTTTATGACTGAATCAAGCAAGTTCTCTGCAATCAGACGCACAGTAGATTGGAGTAAGTCAGAATCAAGAAATTGCCCTAAAACACTGTGTCAAGATAAGCACAAGCTGCCCATGTCATGTGTACCAACAAGAAGACTGGAAACAGCAGCCTGGCCCTGTATCCAAAAGGCTGATACAGCAGGTAGGATGGAGAACGGTTACTGTTTTGTACCAAATCAGAGAACAGGTGGGGTGGAGGAGTCTGTCTGTTCCATTTATTACACTTTAATTACCTCTTGGCTTAGTCAAGGAACTTA